GGTCCATAATTGTATCCGAATATCACAATTCAGCGTAAAATTTAGTAGTGATTCGTCTTAAATAATAGCAAAAAGTGACCAGCATGACACTTCCTAAGCACTATTTTATTTAGGCTTTACTTATTTATTGTATTAAATAATCAACATATTTGATCCTCTAACCTACATTCTTTATTTTTTCTACTAGTTCCTCGCCCGTATCATTCTGAACTTCAGCCTAAACTGCGCTCTGACGTTCCCAACAATCTTCCCAGTCTCTGTTCTCAGGGACTTGGATTCGGGCTCACTTCTTCAAAGGCCTCTGACCTGCTCCTTTCCCTGCAATTCTCTAATCTTGACACCGATCAGATGGCCGAACCTGCAAACGCTGAGAATGGGCTTTCCGGAATGGATCACGAGTCAGAACGAACAACCGGGCCCTCTGACTACCAATTTATGCCTCTGGTGACTGCGGCCGATGATTCGATTGGAGGCCAGATGAACTCTTCGACACTTTCAACCAATGGCCAATCGATACAAGATGGGGTCCGTTGTATCACATCCATATCTTCTTCCTCCAAGAGGTTAGTTTATTTACAATTTCTACTGCCAAAGTTATTTTTAATAATGCAATTATAAAATAATAATGCCAACATTACATTAATTTCTCAGTTAGCTTGCCTTGCTTTTATTGTACCAGGAGTAAGATTTTAGCTGGATCTAATAATGCCTGTACTTTTTCCTATACTCCTCTCATTGAAGACAAAGAGAAGGTAAGCATGAAAGGAGAATTAAATGTGGCACACTGATCACATCTCTTCATTGTTTCATTGACCATTGCTTTAGTCATTTTTATCGACCCATAAACTTCAGAGGAATCAAAAATTAAGCGAAATCATAAGTTATTTAAGAGACGAGTTTGCTTTCATTACCGCATGCTTACATTGGTCTGTATAGCATGCTTACTTCCTTATGCCTACCGTAAGTTGGCGGATGATTTTTTATGTTCCACATAATTACTTACAATTACAAACTCTTTTATGAGCTCTTAGCTCCTCATGATAAGATTTGAGCAGAACAACTCTGCAATAATTACACCGCATCCCTTCAATATCGTCTTCAATGGCCTTTTCATAGCTCAGTTCGGTGGCATCTTCTTTGGCATTTCTTAGAATTTAGCTTTAAAGAATAAGCGTAACATTTGGCTTTGTCGCTATTTCCTATTCTTATCGTCGATGGGAGACTATGAGTAGTTTTCTAATAACTTGAGTCGCCCTATATCATCTTTAAAGATTGACAGTTGCATTTTCCTATAATAAAATGGTTAGGATACGTGAAATTAAATGAGATCGTTCAACCAACTTATTCAGTTCAACTATCAGCACTCATCCTGAGCGAAAGAAGATTTATTGTGTTTCTTGATTTGATCACCTGTTTGCGAGTTTAGTCGTGTTTTTAGGCTAAGAATTGTAGCCTCCCCATGCCGCATAAGGTGACGGTGACTTATAATTAAGTTTTCCAACATTGATACGAATAGGCTTCACGATTCCATAGGTATTCTCACCCAGTCCGCACTAGACTAGGTTCCGTCAGCACCCCAAACGGTAATCGAACCCTACGTCACATTGCTACAGGCGTCAGTGGGTCACAGAACATTCGTGATTTTCAAGGCAGGCCAGTCCTTTCTGATGTCACATTTATAGTGGGATTGTTGATTAAAGTTATATTTTGCTATTACCATCGACTTCGCTACTTATATTCATATTGTGTCATTTCAAGACTATCGGTAAATCTGTAGTTCTCACAACTACTAAGTATAAATCTGTGTCTAGGGAGACCTGCATTGCCTCATCTGCCATTGTTTTCCTATGTTCTTCCAGCATCAAACCTTTGGCTGGTTACATTTCCAGGCTTTTCCCTGTCACTGTAGTTGGCCTCATCATTTTTAGCACTAATGTACAAGTCGTCAATTCGACAAGTATAGTACTTAGCCTTGGTCGGATGTCTGCTTTAACCCAACTTTAGTATCCTTTCCGTTCTTAATGTTAATGAAAAGGGTTGAATAGATTGCTTTGCTGTATCAATGTCTATCTCACTTGTCATC